CAGAATGTTTGCACCAGGAGTTGCTTTGAATTTTTTTTTTATTTATGAAGTGTTTAATCCTATTTGACATGTAATGTTTGTAATTTTTTTTTGAATGATGGGGATTGAACCTTGTGCTAGTAGGGGCAACTACTACCCTCAAGTTACACTCTTAGCCCCTTAGACATGCACATGTGACATCTCCATTTTGTAGATGAGGAATACATATGCCAAAAGGCTAGGTAATGTTTCTGAGGTCATACAGCAGTGACAGAGCTACAATTCATGTCTAGATAGGGCCACACGCTTACTCCCTTCCTTGTTCCCTTTAATTTTCCCCAATATGTTCAGGCAGTAAAGAAAATTTGACTTGGTGCTTCATATAAGAAAGGCACTGTTCAGAGTGGTTTCCAGCTGTGTCCCAGTCCCTGGGGGCTTCCACTCACCATGGTCTAGGTAAACACAGTGTACAGCCAGGACAGCTGTACAAAGCAACCCTAGAAGACTCTGAGGTATGATCGTTTCGCTGAAACAAGGCAGTCTGTGAAAGTGCCTCAGCTAGAAATGTTATTGTAGCACAGAGTGTTGAAATATTAATTTTGAGCCTTTTATTTACCTATAAAGCATAAAGTTATGGGATAAATTTGTAGGTAGTTTTGAACTCATAGATTTCTCTTTATGTGGACTAGTGGGAGACACATCTTTGAGAGTTTAGTGCCTGGAAACATTGCTGTTGTGAGCAACAAGTATTGTTTTATTTTATGAAGAGCGTATGAGCAATAATAAATTAAGAAACTAGGAACAGGGCTGGGTGTAGCTCAGCAGCAAAGCACTGGCCCTGTGTGCATGAGGCCCTGACTTCCAGCCCTAGCTGCAGCAGCACAACTGCAACAACGAACATCTAAGGCCAGTTGGGATTCCTCTCTCTTGAATTGCATGCAATCTCTCTGTGAGCTGAGCTTTCCCCTGGCCTTACGTTCTTTCATCTTTATGGGGATTTCTTTGATTTCATTTTCATACCTAGTTGCATGTGTTCTTGCAGGCTGGCTCAAATCTGTGGAAGTAGGGCACGGGGAAGGAGTTTAGATTTGCACCTTTCTTACAGGGGTGTCAAGCAGGTCCCCCATGTCCAAATCCTCTTCTTTGTGCATGATGGTGACCAGGTGCAAGAAACTGCACCGGTCAGTGTCTGATGTGAATGTTTCCCGCCTGTTTCTGAGGGGAGAGAATTTTTGTGCTCTTTGTACAGGAAGTGTTGCTGTTCTCAGGGCTGATGGATTGATTGACTGATGACAGTCCTCCTGTAAAGACCATCATCTTGACACATTTAATATTACATCAGCCCTGGAGGGCCGGCTGGAGTTTGATAAACACTCTGTTAGAAGGGAAAAGCTAGGTCTTGGTAGTGCGGCCTTGGAAGTGTATTGAAACAAGAACTCAGGTGGTGCTGTTGGAGTAAAGATCGAGACATCCGCATAGAATTCCCCCAGGTCTAGTCTCCTCCCTTTATGGGCCATAAGGTACCACATTTGACATCTGCCAGGTGTGGGACTGGGTATCTATTTCCACTGGCGAGGAAAGGAAAACATGGAAAAATGTTCCAGGAGATTTCCCTTTTGTTTACTCTTCACTACAGCCTTAAAAGACAATCACTTTTAATGGGTTTACCTGTAATTTGGAGAGAATAAAGCCTCAGAGAGTTGAAGGAACTTCCCCAAGGTCAAACACAAGCTGGGATTAGGAATGGGATAAGTCAGATTCCGAATGTGATCACCACACTCCCATTAGCACGTACTGTGATACTCGCCTTTCTACTAGCAGGACAAGATCAGCAACTACAATCCCTTCGCTTACTGAAGCCATGAATAAAGAGGGAAATCACAGCACTTCCAGACGAGAGAAGCACCTCTGTAGTTGTGTCTGGTGGTGTAGTTTGTGTACCAGGAAGGCAGCAAATCTCTTTGAATCCCGGGCTGCTTGTCAGCCGCCGAAGGGTCTTGGAGGTGGCTTGTATATTGATTGACTGGAGCTGCCTGAGTGCTGTGTCGTGATCAAAAGGCAAGGTACCAGCAGACCACAGCTGCCATTAGGCCGGCCAGAGGACAGCCCAGTCAGACAAGAAACAGCACAACACGAGAACAGCAGAAACTTAGCCACAGTTTATCACTGGGAAACTGCCGTGCTCTGTGTTGTCTCATTCTGACTGTGTTGACTTGTTCTGATCCCCATCAATTCAGGGGATAGACAGGAGGTGACTGTTTCTGATTTGGTATTAATAATTCAGGAGCTCAGGGCGCTGCACATTTTAAAAACCTACAGTGTATGAAAAGCCTATGGTTTTATTTTCCAAAGATGTAGCACAGCTATTGCTATCCCTCTGAGAAATCACAGGGTTTAACTGCTCTCGCTGACCTTGGCCTCTTAGAATCCTCAGTGGCCTCTGTGGAGAGAGAGAGCCAGGGCCATCCATCCTGGACCAGAGCAGTTTTTGCAAGTCTTGGAGGGCACCTTGATGCTCTGTGGTCCTGAGTCACTGCGCGGGACGAGAAAATCCTCTGCGTGTCATGGGGACAGGGGCTAGGTAAACAATGCAGGCAGTGTGTTTACAGATATGCAAATAAGCATGCAAATTAGACTCCTGTCGGCTTCATTTAGAAAGTAATTTAAAATTAATTAAAAATTAAGAGGTAAATTAGCAGCTAACATTGAACACCATATGGGAAAACATACATATTTATCAGAATGGCATATATGTACACTGGATGGGCGGGGGCTAACTGTGATGTGTATAAAACTCTTCCATTTTGATACTGCATAAAATCAATGTGGGGAAACCTAGTAAGTTGCAAGGCTTATTTTTTAGCACTCCATGAATTAAAATTCATTCCAGTTTAAGGATTAAATGTGTACATTTCATATGCATTAAATTCTCTGTAAACTTATACCAAAGGACACAGGGTTCTACAATTGAAAAGTGAAATGATAAATCAGGTACAGTTTACCTCCATATGCTGTAAAATATTTGTGAAGCTCATTTTTCTCAAATGGGGTCATTGAGCACATTCACCCTGGCAGGCCTTTTGCATATTGTTAATGTGCGATCTACACTTGGAAAGTGATGATTTCCCTTCCTCAGCCACCGAGGAGTTCTAGGTGATTAATGAGTTAATGGCTGCATCCACACAAGGCCAAAACAACTCATTGAAAAGTGAAAAATTCAATCACTCCACTGACTGTTTTGTCTACAAAACAACCAAACAACCTCTGTGATTGATTTTCTTTTCACTGAATTGATTGCTATTTTTTGGCAACTTCATTGAATTAACCAATTGTTTGATACAACCAGAGTGTGGACTGACTTCTTTGTTAATATAGCGAAGCATTTCTTTTTACAAAATGCATTTATAATGGGCTAAAATGTTTCCATACTGATCTTTTCCTACTTCTAATATAAACACGTGTATGTATATATGCAAAGGCTTGACAAACAGTGCCTATGTAAGAAAGTTTGAGTTATTTCATACTTTGGCTATCCTGGATAAAATATTTAATTTTATTGAGATGTAGGCAGTTCCTCTAAAATGACGGTAAATACCAAGTAATGCAAAGGATAATCTCTCCCTTTCTCCCTCCCTCCTTTCTTTCTTCTTTTTGAAAAATTCAGAGACTATGGGGTCTTAAATCAACCAAAAAAATAACTACAGAGTTGGTGTGTTATACAGAAGGGAGGAAAACTAACAACAGTGATGTAAAAAGCATCAAGCAAACGCTCACAAAGACCAAGACAGGGTTTGGAGGCCACGCGGCTGCGGAGCACTCGAGGAATTAGGAATTGTGTTCTCAGAGTCAGCGCGGTCAGTGTGGAATCTGGGAAACAGGTGTGGGAAATGAAAACATGGAGATTCAAGAAACAACTGCCCTTTGCTGACCTACAGATGTATACACAGTCCTGATAGAACCGAACATCCTGAATAAGAACAGTTACTTGTGTTTATTTCTGTTAACTCCTTTATTTTTAAAAATGTTGACATGCTTTGGCTGATGTGATGAATATTACTTCTTTCAGTGTGGCAGTGGAGAGCAGGCTGAGTGACACTTGTGGAAGCGTCAGTTAACATCTGGAAAGGAGAGCAGCTACACTGCTGGCTGCTTTGCTTTTTGTGCATCCTCATTTGAAGGTGCAGCAGGTGTGCAAAGAGGGAAGGAAATTTCTCATTATTTGCCCGAATTAAATGCAAAAAATCATGTTAAAAAGGGCAGAAATTTGTGGAAACAAATGGCATCACAGACCAGAAACGGGCTTTGGGGTCCTTTCCTCCACCCTCCGTAATTCATAGATGAGTCTGCCGAGGTGCAGGAGGGAGAGAGGATGTGCTGATGCCCGGGACTCCTTGGTGCTGGAGGCAGAAGATGTTTCCAAATTTTCTGACCTGCAGGGCAGAAGACAGTTCTTGTGGATAGTCAGAGGTGAACGAGCAAGGTAAGAATTCTAAAGTTCAGAAGAAAAGTGCAAATTTCTTTCAAGAATTGCATTAAAATAGAGAATACAGTAGAAAGAGGGTTTCATACTGGGACACAGGAGTGTTGAGGTCCTGTGCGGTTATAAATTTAATGTCAGTTGCAAGGGGCCATTTAAATGGGCCATCCAGATTCCAGAAGAGTGGGTGGTTGGAAGGAAGACTTCCCAGCGGATCCGGGGAGAAGGCACAGAGGAATAGAGCAAAGGATGAGATGACTTTTTGAGTTTGGAGTTTGCATTTGTGCTGGAGACAGTCTTGAAGTAGTACAAGAGTATTTTCATTTCTGGAGGAAAAAGAATTATAAGAGAAATTTAAAAACTCTACTGCTATAAGTGCCATCGTGCTGAGGGTGAAAATGAGGGGGAGACAGATTCTGGTCCGTTGAAGCCAGGGGATGGAGGGAAAGCCCAGACAGGTCCCTGGGGGTGGAACTTAGGCTGGTTAGGAGGTCAGATGTGCATTTGACTCCAATGCATTTTCACAGTGTTGATGTAACTCTGACGCCTGTTCTGGGAAAGGTGACAGATCGTCACTAGGCTTTGCAATTCTGTAGTGACAGGATGCATTCATACTCATCAGACATGACTGAAGTGTTTGCCTACCATCCACCTGAACCAAGTGCAGACAGCACAGGGCCGGCAGAGCTCATTTCAAGGAAGAGCTGGTTTTAATCAACTCAGTAGGGGCCCACGGCCATGCAGAGGTCCCGAAGCCCCGAGTTTTCACAGGAACACAACAAGCCTTAGATAAAGATAAGGTAAGGAGTCAAAGTTAGTGAAGGTAGGCTGGGGAGGGGCTACAGATGGGGGCTGGGTCAGCAGCGCAGTGGTACTTTGTATTCCCCACGGAATGGTAAGGGGCAGGAAGATAGAGAAAGAAGTGAGGTGGCCATCTGAATATGTTTCTCTTTTTCTCTTTTTTTTTGCAGGATTGCAGATAAGATTCAAGACCTTCACACTAACCTACATGTCCTGCTTATTATTATTATTATTATTATTTGCTTTGAGGTAGGGGCCTGCGAAGTTGCTCAGGCTGGGCTCCAACTTAAGATACTCCTGCCTCAGTTTCCCAGAGTGTGGGGATGACAGAGGTATGCCACGGCTTCCAGCTCCTTCGTCTTCTGCCCGGGAGTAGGAAGACGCGTAAGACCCCCTTGAGGGTAATGAGGTTTTGTTCTGAGAGCTGAGGAGGGTCCTGCCTTCCCCAGGGTAGAAGAACCAGGCTGCACAGAGCCGAGATGGGAGACAGCCGGTCAGGGCAGGAAAAGGTGGTGCAGGACTCCCGAGTGTGCCTGGTTTCCCAGTAACGAGAACGCCAAGTGCTCAGCCAAGGATGTGATGCAGCCCCTGTGCCTCCCTTCCTCCAGCACCCAACCTTCCTGCACTGCACACGCACAGCTGTCCTAATGAGTGAAGCAGGGAGAGGGGAAGGCTTTTGAAAGACAGAGCAATTTTATTCGGGGGAGACTGAGTATTCCCTAAAGCGGCTGTTTAAATTATCGGATCAAACTAAATTTAAACCGGGTTAGACGTTTAGTTAATTTATTTTTCTCTAACCAGCAGGTGGAAGTTTGGAGGAAGACAAGATTATAGACAAAATAAAGGTACTGCATTTTCTCTGATAAAAAGTCTCTTTACATTTTCATATCCTGGTGGTTTTTCAGGAGGTACATGAATGTGCTGTGAGCATAATCTTAAAATTGATGTGACGGATTAAAGGCGGGGAAGCAAGTCCTGGGCTGATGTTAATATCAATCTGTGTCTTTACCCACAACAATGTGACTGCATCTCGTTTCTTTTAAAAACCCATAAAAAAAGCAATTGAAGTCAGCCAGGCAATTATTTTATTGCTCAACAAGCCTTAATATCCGGATTGATTGAATTTCCTTTGGCCTTTATTCTGGAGTGTGTGCTCACAGTCTCAATAAGACAGTGAAAATTTTCTCCCAGAACGTGTGTGTTGTCTAATGGAATGGTGTTTAAGGCATTATTTTATTTGGAGATATTCAGGGATATGCTTCCACAAGGGACAGCTTGTGATGGAAGTGAGAGAAGTCTTGTTCCACAGACGTGATTGTGCCCTTACTCTGGGGAAGCTGCCTGAGAAGACGTGGGGGTCAGAGGGATCAGGGGGATGTGGGGAGGGATGTGGAGGGGCCTGCGGAAGCCACGAGGATCATTCAGACTGGGGACCTGATTATACAGGTGGCGTGGGTTGGACGTACAGCGGGGGCTGGGAGGAATGAGGGGCGGTCAGGGATGATATTAAGAGGGGAAATTGGAGGCAAGGAATGGCAGGACCCAAACGCCTTGTGATTTGAAGGGAGCTATGTTTTGGGAGGTTTAAAAAGGTCAACACAGCTCTCCTGCTCTGCCAATGTCTTAGCTTGGGCAATGCTGGTATCTCTGAGACCCGGGCTGTGTAAAGATTCAGCACTTGTGATGTTTTCCTTGGTACCTGCCGTGCAGGACTGGGATTTGAGGAGTATGCTGCTCATGGTCAGTTTCAATGGGCTGCTTTGCATCAGGCTGCCTGGATCTCCTAGCAGCTGCTGCTGCTGCTGAAGAGACGCATGTGGATCACCACTTAAAAACCGTGAGTGGCAGGCACTGACCAGAGGAGAGAAGGAAATCCAGGAGGACTTAGTAAGGAGAAAATGCTATTACTCACAAGTTCTCCAGTGCCCACGTGGGATGGTAAGGAAAGGAACAAAATCTCAAAACAACCACAGTCCCTGCTTTATCTATGAGGCTCAAGCTCTTGAGGGTATATTGCACAGTCTCTCTGTGGACTGGTATGTTTAATTTGTTATTTGAGCGTAACACCTGTGTTGGTTCATTCTTACACAAATTCCTGTGGTAATGAGTTTCATAGAATGTTGCCAGGCTGGCACACTTCCCTGCTCCCATCACTCTTGGGAATATCGGAACTAGAAGACAGGTACTCTTATCACAGAGTTATATTAATAATCTTAATTAGCATAAAACAACATTAATTCAGCTGTCGACACCTGAGGCTGGAGAGCTTCCCTTTCCCTCATGCCATGGCGGTGCTGAACCGTGAGTGTCTCACGGACACTGTTTGTGTTTTTAGAGCCAGGCTTATTGAGGTCTAATATACACATACTAAAATGAGTACAGCTCTATGAGCTTTGACAAAAGTGTCCAGGTGTGTAACCATCTCAATCAAAATAGAGATTATTTCCTTTAGCCAGAAAGTTCCCTCCTGGTCCTTCATAGTCAGTCTCCTCCCCTCACCATGGCAACCTTGGTTCTTTGCATCATAATGGCCTACAAGTGCAGCCTCATGGTATGAAGCTTTCTCAGCTTGGTTTCCACCACTCTGCTCAACCTGCCCCCAAGATTCTTCATGCTGTTCAGCGTACAATCTTGTCACTTTTGTCGCTGCCTAGTTTTCTAAGGTGCACAGGTACTTGTGAGGGTTCACCCCTCCCCCCTTTGGGATATTTTCAGTGCCTGGTGATTGTGATTAAAGTTGCTCTGAAAGTCCATCCATTGAACTGCTCACAGTCATGTGTTCACCTCTCCCCAACCACCCGGTTGGGTTCCAGGTAGGTGCACGCTCACCTTTATAAGGCAAGAAACTTCCACACTCTTCTGGAAGGTGGCTTTACCATTGTGCACATCCACTAGCAATGTGTGAGCGTTCCAGCTCTTCTACTTTCCTCCCAGCACTTTGTATTTTCAATGTATTAAAAACATTATCTATCCTTATAAGGGTGTAGTGGTACTATATTGTGGATTTAATTTGTGTTTCTCTAATGAATAAGGATATTGGGCATATTTGCAGCTGCCTATTTACCACATGTATTTTTACTCTGGAGAGATGTGTGTGGCACTGGTAAAAAAAAATAGTCATATAGATTAAGGGAAGCAAAAAAAAGTCTAGAAATAGCCACACACTTGGGCAGTTGATTTCCTATGAAGGTGCCATGGTACTTTGGCAGGGAGAGGATAGCTTTTTAAATGAATGGCCCTGAGCAATTTGACATTGATATACTAAAACAATAATAATAAAATCTCAAAACAAACCAACAAACAAACACAGAAATCACCTGAACTCAGCTCAGATTCATACCTAGAATCATATACAACAATCTGATTCAGAGACCTAGATACAAAACCAAAAGCTATACAAGTTTGAGAAGAAAACATCTTTGTGATGAGAGGTCAGACAAAGTATTTTTAGGTAGGACGTAATAATCATGGATCATAAATGAGAAAATTGTTGAGGTGGTTATCCACAAACTTAGAAATTTCTGCCCTTTGAGAGACACTAATGATGTGTAAAGACAGATGACAGTCAAGAAAATGTTTGCAGAGTATGTCTCTGATAAAGAACTTGCATATGGAATACACACAGCCCTCGTACAGCTCCACAACAAGAAATCTGGTGAAAAATGGGTGATGGATTTGAGCAGACCCTTCTCCAACAGCCTTGGAAAGTGAGCTTTGTGACACTTTACCTTTCACTCCTCCCTGGGCTGGTCCTGATGGCCCTGAGTCACGTGCCCCCTTTCTGGCCCACTCTCTGATCTCTGGGATCCGCTGCCCTCCTCTTTGGACACTGGCCAGTCCTTCTCAGGCTCCAAGCATCCCGGAGCCTCCGCACTTCCGTACGTGACCTTCCCCTGATCCCATAGCACATTGCTTTTCCTTGCACTTACCATCCTCAGTCTCTTCCCTCTGTTTTATCTTTTTCCCCTTAACAGGAAGAATATCAGTTTTTTCAACAAGATTCTATTGTTCCGCATAAGGCGATCATTCTTATACTGTGGAATACTTCATTACAGCCAAGGAAACCTGGGGTGGAGCTTCAGCTTTTGAGGATGAGTATAAGGTACTCATGAGAAGAGAAGATTTTTTGAACATCTCCTGTTATGTGTTTAGAGCCAGGACAGAAGTGTCTGGAACAGGACTCTTGCAGCGAGTGTCTCTGAGGAGAGTGTCTATTTGAGCTTCGTGTTCTTTTGTGTGTCCAAGAGAAGAGCAAGAGAAGAGCCGGCAGAGACCAGCAGAAGTGAGACCGATAGCTACGGCTCAGAGTGGCACCCCTCACCCCTTGGTGGTGCGTGCTGGCTCTTTGTGGGTGCACCTTCCGGAGCTGGCAGGACCATAGCCCTGTCCCTGCACAAGGAGCTGCTTCTGGAGCCTGCCTGCTGGCCGTGTGACCGTTCTGTGAGAACAAAGGGGTACACCCCTGGCAGAACCTACTCCTAAGGTCATCAGGCCCAGAATTTTAGCTACTCAGCCTCACAGTCGGTCCTTCAACCTTTTCTCAAAGTACAATTGGCTAGAGCTGTGACCTTTCTCCCTGCCTCAGGGCAAAAGCCATGGACAGACCCGTGGGGTTGGCTGATTACCATAAGAGGCCTTAGCCTTTTCAGTACACACAGTCACATATATTAGAGGTGTGTCAGGAAAAGACGAGTTGCAAGGTGTTCAGACAGGGGTGTAGACCCCACAGCGCCAGCTGCTCACATTTACCTCCATAGCGCATGTGGTCATGGATTTTCCTCCCCAGCCATTAGAAATGTCTCAGAGAGTCAGCTGGCCGTCCCTGCAGCCCATTATGGAGAATCTTTGTTCAATTAATTGCTGATTGCTTTTAGTAGTGAATTTCAGGTCTGCGCGCGCGTGCACGTGTGTGTGTGTGTGTGTGTGTGTGTGTGTGTGTGTGAAGTGCTTTCATATGGAAACTTTATTGCCAGGAAATTGGAGGATTAATCCTTCAACTGTAGAACAGAGATTCTAAACTCTTTGAGCTGAGGATCTTTTTTTTTTTTTTTAAATAATCAAAACTTTCCTTTGATATTCTGCTAACAATAGCATCCCCAGTATCTGTTAATTAAGAAAATACAGAAAGCTAGCATGACCTCACGATGTTGGTAAATGGCCTGAAAAAATTCTACCAGGCAGTTAAAAATGTACCAAAGGTCCATTCCACGTGTTAGGCAAGACTGTGGATGCCCTCCCCCCAGCTGGCTTGAGAAATGGGCTGGTGTGACATTCTTAGTTTATTTTGTGCTTTCCTTTGCTCCATTTATTTCTTGTGGAGCACTTAGGCTGCTGGCTGAGTGTACAAAATGAAGGTCATGGATCATGACATGTCCTGGTTGGAAGGAGTCTCGGGCATCCTTCAGTGTGGCCTCCTCATTTTATGGATGAAGAAACTGAGTTTAAGCAAGGGACAGGACTTGCCCAAGTCCAGGCAGCTAATCTTGTGTTGGAGCTAGGAGTGTGCTCCTGTTTTTTCACTGCCGCTTTCACATTTTTCTTCTGCAGTCGTATGAAGAACGGCTGTTTGTCTCTCTAGTCCTAAGGTGCACTGGATTCGGCCACAGTTTATGTATGACTCTACTGCATCTATTTTATTTGCATTATTGATAACTGTTTGTGAGATATAATGGTACATTCATCTTGGGAAATCGGAGCCTCTGCACATCACATCTTAGTCTTTCGTTCCCCCTCTTCACCTCCGCACCCTCCCATCTCTCCCATCTCCATGAGGTTCATGCATCTATTTTAAAATTCCCTTGGCGTTAAAAACTTGTTAAAAAAATAAAAATTACTTCTGAGCCTTTCCTTTTGAGTAGTAAATAGATGGATATTTTAATGTAGATTAAAATAATAACATGAATCTTGAATAGCCACTTTTACTGAGTTGATGCATATGTTGTGTGTATCATGCATGCCTTTAAAGGGAGGAAAATGTGTCTAGTATTTAGAAGTGTAGATGAATGGACCCGTTATTTGGGAGACAGTAGGGTATGGTGATGGAAATCAGGGATACTGGAAGTGAAGTTGCTTGGATTTGTATCCCAGCTCTACTGTTAATAGCTGGGGGTCCCTAGGCCATTCATTTAAACTTTCTCTGCCTTAACTAAAGTATAAAATAAGAATGAGAATATTACCTACCTGCTTGCAGTCAAAATTAGTTAATGTATGTAAAGAACTTGGCATATTGCACGTTACATCTCAAGTGTTCAATAAGTGTTTGTGTTGTTAGAGAAAACAGCTTGTTCATCAAGTTCGCTTTGTTTGAAACCGTATTTTACACAGGGCTTTGTTCGTATGAAGAGGCAGCTGGGTTGACCGGCATGGACAAGGCTCTCTCCTGGGTCTTTGCTTTCTTACCGAAGTGCCAGCGCCTTGGCGAATACTGGTCAAGGCCAAGACTTCACGCAGCCCCTGCCTGGAAGCAGATGTGGCTTCCCCTCTGGTCTGTGTTCAGCCTGCAGCTTGCTGTGTTCGGAAGCAGCAGCTGTGATTCCCAGAGCTCCCTGAAGAGGGCAGCCTTTCCTTTCCTGTGTTTTACAGACGCTGACAGAACCCTAACCTCTCCCCGAATGGCGTGGGCTGGCTTGTCACCTAAGTGCAAATGTCATTTTAGCACTTCGCTGGTCAGAACACTCCTTCTGGCCTTTATAGGAAATGACATATTCCTGTGTTCTTCGTCTCCAACACTTGCTTCAGAGCGGCGAGGGCAAGTTCTTCTGTTCTAAAAGGTTGGAGAGAAAGTGCAGAGACCTGTAGGCCAAACACCAGGGAGCACAGACAGCGCAAATCAGGGTACAGCGCCACCTGGTCTGGCGGAAAGTGCAGAACGAGACTGCTGGCTTTGTATCCCGTCGTTCTTAACAGCTTTCCACTGTCCTTTCTCTTCCCTGGGCCAGAGGGACGCTGGAACAAGACGGGCACTCTGCGCCCCACAGGCTGCCTTTCGTCCGTCTCCACAGGGGCCTTTGCTCCTCGGCCTCTCTCCCTTGCCCTGCCCTCTTTTTAGCCTGCTCGTGCCCCTGGCATTCAGGTCTCTTTATCATCCTTGGGGCTGGTCTTGGCGCGGCTGCAGCAGCGCAGAGGTGTTGCTGTAAGCGCGCCCAAATTATTACCAACAGCAGGTGCCAGGGAGGCATTGATCCGGCTGCACATGACAGCTTAGGGAAGGAAGTTGAGAGCAATTTTATGGCCTATTACAGCGCCGCTCTCTCACAAGGAGAAAACTCTGACAAGTGACTCCAGCCTACCTGGATTTCTGAAACACCGAAAGTTGCTTTTAATTACAACAATTACTGCTCCCAGCCAGGCCGAGCTCACAGAGGCCCAGAGATATAGGAGCATTCTTTATTAGCTGGTTTTTCTTCTCAGCATTTTCTCTTGTTCTCATTATATAAGATACTATGTTTTAGATCTAAAATGTTGCCTAAAAGTCTCCTGTTCAGAGGTGGGGCCTGGATCACCGGGGTGCTACCTTCCACAGTGGACTCATCCACTGATGAATTCATAGCTGAGTGTGACGTTAGGAGAGAGGACCTGGGTGAAGGAGCTGCTGCACTGGGGTGTGTGTTAAAGGTGATATTCTGGCTCACGGGTCCCCTCTTGTCTCTCTCTGCTTCCTGACTGCCATCTGCTGAGCTGCTTTTCTCGGAACATGGACTGAATCCCCTATAACCATAAGCAAAAATAAGCTTCTATTCCTTTAAGTTGTGGGTGCCAGGAATTTCATTCCAGGGATGGGAGATTTACTGAGAAGCAAGATTTCCGACCAATATCAGGCCTGGGCAGTATTATTACTAAACACTGATATAGCATGCCTCGAGCCAACCCACGCCCTACAGAATATACACATGTTACCAGACTCAATTCTATCTCTCAAAACTCCTTTGAGAGGGTCTTATTATAAACCTAATTTTTTAGACCAAGAAACTGAGACATAAGAGATTAATTGCTTTGCTCAGTTGCCCGAGGTGATGGACCAGGCTGGGCTTGGAACCCAGACCGCACGGCTCTTCTCCTTGCTTCTCAGCACGGTGCTGTTATTTCCAGAGGAAGATGTGGGCTCATGCCCTGCATGCAGACAGAGCTGCTTACCTGTAAGAAAGTATAAGAACACGATGCTGTCTCAGATACTGCATGATGGTCTGTCTTCGGAGGGAACATGGATTAGTTGCTGCAGATGGCAGTAAACACCAGCATTAACAGCTGCTCTTCCAGGACGGCATCCTGACTCGTCATCCTGTGTGCCATTGATCACAGTGGATATTGAGTCAGGATTTCTCATGGGAAACAAAAATGGCCACCCTCACAGGCCCCCCTCCCCCCGGAGACTAGAGGAAAGCTTCAAAGAACAAAATCTATCATTATGTTGATTTGTTAAACAAATACTAACGGTGTATCTCCTACATGCTGGCACTAGGCTTAGCTCTGGATGCCCTGCTGTTCATAAGACAGTGTTGTGTCACTTGGTGTCTCCTAGTCTAGAAGGGAGACAGATCAGCACGCGGTATGTAGGGAGACGAATGTGATGCTCCTCTGTAAAGTTTTTGTAAATGGGATGTGATCCAGAATTGTAGTGAAGAGGACTGTAAGACCTAGACTAGAGAGCTTCATGGGTCTTAATTCATGCCAAAGAAGCCATTCTGCAACATACCGAAGCACATTTCACTATAAACCTCTACTGGAGCAGGGAGAGAACGTTCTGACTCACACGCGGACTGGCTAGAGGAAGCTTTAGTTTTGGAAGCATTATCTGTCACTCACTCGTCAACACCCAGCATCTTCATGGGGCATTTCTGGTACTCCAGAGTTTCGTTAGGTCAATCTGTTGCTCCTTTGGAAGCTTGACATTTTGAAGAATGTGCATGTTGTGTGTTATCCTTCCTTGCATATGCCTCCAAAGAAGGAAGAGAAGAAAGAAAGTAGCGTCACCAGATTTAAGGACAGGGGAAATGAGAAAAAGGAAGGGAAGGAGAAACTAGAAGAGAAAGAATGTCAGAAAGAAGTAGAGCAGGCAGGGAGCCACCTGGAGGGGGAACACTCACAGGACGACAACTCTGCCCTGTTCTCCCCTTCCCAGCAAACTGTAGCGGGGCTGCTACAGTCATTCTGCTTCACAGGTGAGGAAACCGAGGCACAGAGTGCTAAGTAACTCTTCCAAGAGCATGCCATGGGCAAGGGTCAGAGCTAGGATCCAAGCCCAGCACACTGTGTGCATCCCAGGGCCCTGACCACACAGCACACTGCCTGTGCAGAGGAGGCGGCTTTGCAAGCTGCCTGTATTGGTAGTGACAGCAGTGAGGAAAGAAAAGTGAGGAAAGACTGTGAGGCTGCCTGGCCCAGGTTGACTGAAACCGTGAAGTGGTCGTGGCTTCTTTTTTCTGCAACAGCGGTAGCTGAGGATGTAGTCTATTCATTCAATGCTCAGCTTGCGTTTGAGTGAATGCCTCAGGGGAGCAGCCATTTGGTGGCACACAGGGATGCTTGGATCCTGGTAAATGAGCCTTGGCTGGGGCCAGGTCTGCTGGCAACAAGTATGTCAGTCAAGGACAGCTCCTCCTTTCTGGCCGGAGGACTCCACTGACTGAAAAGCCCAGTGCACAAATACTGCTAAGCAGCGCGTTCCAGGCAGGAAATGGGGTTAGGAAGAGATAGCTTGTAGCTCAGAGAGCTACACAGTGCTGGACAAAGAAGTAGACTCCAGGGAAGCAAAGCACAAGCTGGTCAGTGCAGGAGAGGGAGGAGATGGTTCTTGTCCCTGTGATTCAGTGAAGTTCATCCTGATCTGACTGCACTCCCTGCTCCTCAAAGCGAGTACCTTTGCTCTGTGGGGTAATAAGACCCCCCTCCCGTTGTTTAGGAGTCTGCCCCGCCCCCCCAGTCAGCCTGCAGATTCTAAAGCAGGGAACTGTGTTTTACTCATCTTCCAAGCCTGAAGTGGGGTCTCTCTAATGGTAGGGAATTAAAAGTGTGTGGACTATTAAGAGAGTCATTCTTTACTTAGCCCAAGAGGTGACACGTAAAACAAAGCACTGTGGTGGATTACTAAGATACTTTGTATATTTTTAGGGGATATTTGCTCTGAGCTCTTTAGAGGGAGAGGAGCAGGGGAGGGAGGAGTTGGAGACTGTATCCCCTATGCATCCAGAATGCGCAAGCATGCACTTGTGTTCATTTCCTCTGCTGCTTTGGAGTCTGGAGAGGAGGTCGCCGAGAGAATGTCACATCAGGTGATTGTGCTTTTGAGTGTTCTCCAATTCAAGAAGCCTGCCATGCTTACAAACAGTTTGCATAATACCTTGTTCATTAAGACCCATAAATTAGCACTGTTTTAATTGATTTCCTAGAGGCAGTAAATAAAATGACACGAAGTGACACCAGACGGGAAATGCCACGAGGTAGGTGCTTTTCTTCTCCTTTCAGCTCCTGCTTTTTTCCCTCTGGATTCCCTGGGGCCCCACAACCCTGTTCTCCTTGGCCCGCCAGATTTCTGTTCCAGCCCACTGAAGAAAGGAGCAGCTTTGGCACCTTGAGCTACCACGGCAGGCTGCGGACCGCAAACGAGGGGGGGCGCTTTTGCTAATCACAGAAACTACTCTAATTGTGAAATCGAAGCCTCTGTCACTTCTTAAGGCGATTCCGACCATTAGGTGCGGGTGTTATTGGCGTCACTCTAGCTCAGTGGTCTCTGGCCCTAAACCAGGCTGCTTTGGGGACAGCGAGGAGGCCCTCATGGCAGAGGCTCTCTCTGTGCCAGACGGTACACCGGGGCTCCGCATGTGATCTTGCTGTACGAGCCTGATAAATTGGTATCGATTTCTCTATTTCTGCAGATGAAAGCACAGAGGTCCAGAGAGGTTAATTATCTGGCTTGAGGTCACAGAGCTCACACAGAGCTTGAGGTAACGGCCGGTGCTGAAACACAGGTCAGTGTAACTGCGAAGTGTGTGTACGTTCTACCAAATTGTGTTGTCATAATAACTTTCGTGATTGGAGGCAGGAAACGAGGAAGGAGGTTTCCGCGGCTGCTTAAATAGTTTCCCCCTTTGCTTACTGCTGTGTAACCCTCACAGAGAGACCTAGCCTTGCCTCCTTGTTTATGCCATGTCCCTAGTGCCTGTCGCACTGCAGAAGCTCCACACGTCTTTTGTGTGTGTGTGTGTGTGTGTGTGTGTGTGTGTGTGTGTGTGTGTGTTTGAGACAGGATCTCGCTGTGCAGTTCGGGCTGCCGGTGAGCTCACTTTGTAGCCCAGGCTGGTCTCGAACTCGAAACGATCCTCCTGCCTCAGCCTCCCAAGTGCTGGGATTTCAGGCGTGCGCCACCACGCCCGGCACAACTCCGCACATCTTTAATGAACAATTCAAGCAGCGTCGGTCACCGCGGACAGCACTGGAGGAACATCTCCGGGTGGAGGACTGCAGAGCCGAGTGTGTCACTTCCCGAAACCCGCGACGTGACACACCCGAAGCAGTAGTTCCCTGTGTGCATAAATAAAGTGGGATTTGTGTCTCTGAAGTTATGAAAGGCACAGGAGGAAGAAGACAGACGAAAATGTCTAGGAAAGGAGACGAGGAAAGGATGCAGGACCCTGACGAGCTGGCGCAAGGCACAGGTCTGTTTTGACGCGCTGATCGGACTGCCTTCCGCTTTCCTTTTCAAGCAGTGCCCGGCCCTGAAGGGCTAACGGGGTGCAGGTGAGCGGCCAAGGACACCCAGGGTGCCACGCTTCGCAAGCAGCTGCTAGATCTGCCACCAGAGGGCAGGAGCGGCCCAGGCTCACAAGCGCGGTCCTCCTCCGTCTCCCGCGCCCGCAGCTCCCTGGAGCAGCCCGGGAGGAGGCACCCTCAAGGACAGCAGCGGCGTGGCGAGAGCGCTGCACCAGGGCTGCCTGGGGCGGGTAAGCGGGGAACTGGAGAAGGGGGACTCGTGGTGCTGACCTTGGAAGGGAATGGACTAGCTAGGGATCTAAACTCCTCGAAGCTTTCAAAAGGTGAAAGGGATCTGGACAGTGCAGCGGCAGACGCCTCTCTGTCTCCATCCATTAGACTGTGAGCTCTGCTGAGGGCAAGAATCACTGGCCAATCTTATGCACCAACCAAACTGGGCCGCGGGGGGCCCCGATTAAGGGCAGCTGGTCCCGGGTATGTCTCTGAGGGCTTTCTGCACGAGGCTGGCCTGCTGTCCAGTGGACTCAGAACAGCGCCGCGCTGGCCAGGGTGGGGTCACTCAGTGCGTTCAAAGGCTGAACAGGAGGAACACAGACGAAGGAGGACTCCTCCTCCCGCCTTTCCTTTTCACTGATCATACTTGGACATGTCTCTCCTTCTCCTCGGACTGGGGTTTATGTCATCAGTTCCCCTGGTTTCTCGCCTTCGGGCTCAGAGTGCTTTCCTGGGCCTACAGCTTGCAGACGCCAGGCCAAGGGGCTTCCCAGCCACGACTGCACGAGCAGTTCCGCCCAATAAACGCGTCTGTCTCCAGCATCCCGCCAGCTAGAGTTTGGCCAACCAGAGGACTGAACGCACAGCACGCTGCTGTTGAGTATAGGGGAGATGCTGCAGAGCTGCCTCGGGAAGGAGTATCTTGCGTCCCTGTAACTTAATTCCAGTTAACAACGGCTCCCTAGTTCTTTCTCCCCTCCGCCTCTGGTCACCACCTTTGTACTCTCTGCTTCCAGATATCTCGTGTCGGTGGAGTCATGCTGCGTTTGTGCCTCTGTGCCTGGCTTATTTCCTTAGCCTAAAGTCTCCAGGTTCCTTTCTGCTGTCACAAATGGCAGGATTTCTTTCCCTTTAATGGCTGAGTGATATTGCATTGTATGTACACGGGAAACAAAACGTGATCTTTATATATTACACATATGACACAGACTATAGGTATATATTTGTCCATTTTCATTGTTCAGTATTTGTTGATTTCATGTTTGGTGTTATTTAAAAAACCCACAGAAGAATAAAAAGAGATTTTGGAGAGTGATGGAGATGTCTATTACTTTGATTGCAGTGGTTTCATGTGTACACGAATGTGTTTAGCTTATAGAATTGTCTACATTAATTATGTGCAATTTTTGCCTATCCATTATTCTTCCAGAAAGCTGTTTTTCTAAAAAGTAGTGCTTGCATTAGCAGCTGGGAAATGTAGTCTGGCTGTGTTCTTGTGGAAAAGACAGGGTTTTGGTGAACAGCTAGAATCTCAAGCACAATTCCTGTTTATAACCAAGCACATTTGCTATTACTTTGAGTAACAGAGCCAATGTACAGTTTTCATGATGATGATCTGATTTTTTCTTTCCTGAGACTCAATACAGTTTTAAGACCTTGATAGTTATGGGTAGGGGTGCTTCCTGTCAGGGTGTCCAATGATGTTTTACAGGGCCCCTGTCTATGTTGACAAAGTGGAGTTTTCCTGGGGATGGGACAAACTCTCACACTTCTTCATTCAAAGTGCTCCCAGAAGTCACAGGGTTGGGGGCTATTTTAGGGGAGGCTCAGATCTGTGCGCTCCGGCATTCCTGCTTCTCTTACGGCGAGACAGCTTGGCAAGCAAGAGCATGCCTGGCTTGGACCCACCATGCAGGAAGCGTTTATTCTGGGTTAGCCAGTAGCCCCACTGCTTCCCACTGATCCAAGAAGAGAATGATTCATCCCTCCTGCTGATGGAAACGATGGGATCAACCCAAGAACAGGCAGAATGGAAGTGATGGGCTGTCATGCAGTACAGGAAGGGCTTTGAGAAAGAAGGAAATAAAGGATAGCGTAAGGGACGTGGGAGAGGGGGCGAAATCAGACACTGGAAGGAGATGAAGGGGATAGGTGACAAAAGAGGAGCAGAGGTGAAGGAGATACACTACCCAGGACGTTGCACTGCCCCGGAACTCTCCTGATAGTGCTGGGTCCTATAACCCATATTTCTGAGCACTAACTTTCCTTGCCTTCATTGACTCCTTTGTGCTCAGCCCTGACTTATTTATCTTTACAGCCACCTTGAAGTATTACTTTTATTTCTGTAATCTACCTGAAGTCTAAAGTGAGACCGTTAGTATATAAATAAAATGTCAAAAGTTGCCCTAGGAACCTAGTTAATTACTGCTTCCTATTTTTCACCATTAGCTATTCTTAGCAAATAATACTAACTCTGTACAGACCACTTATTTGAAGGTCACTCATTTATCTAATTAATCTCCACTATTTCTTGGGCAAGTAGATGGGATATACATCATTATTCCAGCAGGGAACGGATGCCCAAGGAATAACAGTGTGCTGACGAAAGTCACCTTTGGCTGAGAGATGAAGCTCTCCTGCGTGTGTGCTTACATTTGTGGCATGTGTGTATGGATACCCCATCTCTCACTTCTCTACCTTTGCTGATGTCTTTTAGTTCATAATGCACTCTAGATCTATCTATCTGGACAAAATATCCAACACTTACAACTTAAAGGAGGAGAAGTTGATTTTGGCTCACAGTCACAGGCCTTGTGCAGCTGGCTCCAAGGCAGAGACGATATGCTGAAAGGGTCTGGTGAAGGAAAGCTGCTCACGTCATGGTGGTGAGGAGCCAGAGAGAGCAGGGAGGAGCTGGGGAGGAGATAGCGCCTTCCAGGTCACACCTCCTCCTAGCAGCAAGTCTGCTGTAGGGTGAGCCCAATCCAATCACCTTCCAAAAGCTACCTCTGACTGTCCTTTGGGCGACATTCTAAATCTAGACCATAATTCTGCCTATCATCTATCTATCTCTCTATCTATCTATCTGGTGTTTATTGAGCCCCCATGCATTGGAGACACAGAGAACAAAGGAAACTCTTTTCTTTCAGGGAGATGAGACAATTGGAAGTCCATCAAGGGGCAAGGACATTGCTAGACATCTTTTATACATATCCTCTCCTGGTTATCTTATAAGCAGGGTCCTCTTAGGTTCTTAGATAAGGAAACTCAGAAGACTTGTATAATGGGCCTAAGAAAGTCACACAGGCAGTTAAGTAGAGGAGGTGGAATTTGAATTGAGATTTTGCTGGGGTAAACTCATCTTTCCTCCACATCATGTTGCCTTTTAGTTTTAAGGAGCTAATCTTTTTTTTTTTTTCTTTTTTCCTTTTTGAGACAGGGTCTCACTATGTAGTTCAGGCTGGCCTTGAATTCACTTTGTAGCCCAGGCTGGTCTTCAACTCACAATGATCCTCCTGTCTCAGCCTCCTGAGTGCTGGAATTACAGGCAGGCACCACCACGCCTGGCTTCAAGGAGCTACTCTTTTACCTATAAAAATAAAATTAACCAGTGGCCACTGCGCCAAGCTAAATGTCCTTTCCAAACATCCACACCCTCTTCCCTCTCTACCTGTTTTGTGCCTTGCTTAGCTTTAAACACTGCTGTGCAGTCTTTGCTTAACACAACACTGTTTGTGAGGGCCTCGTGTAAATGTTATCCTTTTCGTTGTGCTGACATCTTTTCTCAGTTTCAAAAAGCATTTTATTTATCAATTGAAGAGTATACAAATATTTTAAAAATATAAGAAATACAAGGTAAACATAAAACATGAATAGAAAATTATGCCCACAGATGCCCTAGTCCAGCACTGACTCAATAAAACTGCTGAAATTATTAATTTGACCCTATTCAGTTTGTACTCCAAAGTAAACACGGGTTATAGTGATCATATAGTGATACAAAAGGCAGTTCTCTGGTAAGAACTAATATGTCTTAATACACATCTCACTAAACACAGTGCCTGACTATATAAGGCAAAAAATATGGAACTGAAGGATGTATCATAGATCCGCAAAGACGACTGAAAATTTCAAAACACTTCCCTCATCATTGACAGCTAAAGAAGGTAGAAAACATCTGCAGTGGAACAGCCAGAATCGGCGCCTTCACACCTCGAATGGAGCATTGCACTGTACACAGAGACCGCAGAGCGTGCAGACCTCTCCGAGGCCTGAGAAACATCCGCCCAGACAGACCGTGCTCACAGCAACACTCAAGACCCTAACATGTCCAAAGACACGGAAACCCTGAAGAGTGCGCTCTCATGTTATGTTGGGGTGATGCTAGAAACAGACAGCAGAAACAAACTTAGAACACAATTGCTTTTTTTCTTTTTCCTATTATCTTTTATTTCATGCTTTATTTATATATTAAATTTTTCACATAAGACAAAGCATGCACTGTTTAAGCTGGTGTGTCTGATTTATATCACTGAACACTATGGTCTCTAGGTGTATCCATTTAATTACAAATGCCTCAAGCTTATCCTTCTTGGTGGCAAAGTAATACTCCATTGTGTATCAGTCCCACATTTGCTTTATCCATTCATCTGCTGATAGACATACAGGCTGTTCCCAAGGTTTAGCTATTAGGAATTGTGCTGCTATAAACATGAGTATGCATAGTTCACTATGCTATGATGTTTTTAACCCTTTTGGGAAGAACCTAGAGGTGGAATAGCTGGGTCAAATGGAATTTTTCATTTTAATTTTTTGAGGAATCTTCATATGTATTTCCATAGTGGTTGTATCAATTTACAGCCCCAACTGCAATGAAGATATGCTCCTTTCTCTCCACAGCCTCACCAGCGTTTGTTATTGGTTTATTTCTTGATGGAAGCTATTGTTTCTGGGGTAAATGGAATCTTAATGTTTTAAGTTGCATTTCTCCAGTGCCCAGTGATGATGAACATTTTTTCATGTCTATGGCTGACTGTCTTTCTTCATCTGAGAAGTGTCTATCCATTTCAGATGCCTAGGGTTTAGTTGGGTCCTTAACTTTCTCAGTTTTCCAAGAGTGCCTGCTCTCCTTGTATTTATCACTTAGGATAATTTCAGTAGTTGCTTTTGTATTTGTCCAGAGTCTTTAGAGCAGGCAGCCTGTGAATGACCCCATCTGCTGGTATTCGTGCCTTCATATTACTCCTTTGCTCAAACACCATGTGGATTTATCGATTTTTTCTAATGACTAGGAAGCATTAAGCATGGGATGCAATTCTGATACCAGCTCATCTAAAGACTGTGGGGTCTGTGCTGAGCACTCTCTTTTACTGTCTTTTGGATTTGTGCCCTGGAGGGAGAAACCTGCCATGCAGAGAGGCCATGTGACAAGTGGCCACTGTCCACATGGGTGAGATTGGAAGTGCCTTTCCCCACTGGAGATCTGGGTGAAGCTACAGCCTGGCCAACGGCTTGAATGCAATCTCAGGAGAGACCCTGAGCCTGGCAAGGTGGCATCCAGACCCTGGCTCACAGAAACCATGGCTGTCGTGGCCTGAATGTGTCCCCTAAGGTCCACACATTAGAAACTTGATCCTTAATGAACAATGTTGAAAGACGGGGTCTCTAAGAGTGATTAGGTCAGGATGGCTCTGCATTATGCATAGCTCATGCCATTGTCTTGTGAGTGGGCTCATCCTCACTTGAGGAGGGTCCAGCCCTATTTCCTCCCTCTGACTGCCCCGCCTTTGCCCTTCCACCACGGGATGAATCCTGGGAAACTCCTCCCCAGTTGTGGCCACTAAGGTTTGGGCTCCCAGCCTCCAGAGCTGTGTGCCAAATGCATTTTTATTCACTATAAATTACTCAGTCTTTAGTATTCCATTATAGCAGCACAAAACAGACTAAGACAGTGATTCCATAAATTTCTGTTGTTATGCCACTCCTTTCTGGAGAAATTTATTACATATCACTAGACAGCAAACATGACCTCAGTAGGCTATAAAATGCTTGTAGGCAGAGTGCTTTTTTCTTTTCATCTGTAGGAGAAGGCAGAACATTTTTGTATTAGCAACAAGAAGAAATGCCCTCCTCCATATTTATGCTACCAATTTGGGAGAATTTGGAGTAAAACAAACTCTTTTTAGAATTGATACGCCCCCTTCTGAATTTCAAAACAAATGCTGTCTGAATTTCAGTGGTGGCCACTGTAGGGAAGCACAGCTCGGAAAAGCACCCAGAGCCCCTCGGTCTGCAATACAGGA